TAATCTTTGCTAATCTGTTGCCATAAACTCATACTGTTATGATGATTATGCAGACTAGAATTCCCTGAAGGTTTAAAGGATAGGTGGTGATGGGCTGAGATTTCTGACAAAAACCAATTGGGATTCAGGCCTCAAGGTCACATTCATCAGTTAGGCTCTATTTGTGCCCTCAGTCTCTAAAGTCTCAAGTCCATCACACACCCATGTTATGATGCTTTGGAAACTCCAATTCCCTAAAGGCTGTAAAGGACACATAGTGATGGGCTGAGATTTCTGACAAAGCCAAGTGGGAAGGCCTCAAGGTCACATTCATCAGTTTGGCTCCATTTGTGCCCTCGGTCTCTAACATCTCAAGTCCATCACACACCCATGGGGACCTACACTTGACACTGACATATGGCCTTGTTTAGGCCATGGGGCTGCGCTAAGTGACTGAGAGCTATTCAGAAGATTGCGGCTTCTTCAATCTAAATTTCTGGACCGTTTTACTCTCATTCATGACATGTAGAATTACCAAAGCTATATTTACAGTATATCATCATCAACTTGATGTTAAAGAGGAAAGAATACTGTAATAAAGAAAGCTAAGTGGTAGTTGCATTATTATGCCATTATATACAGCTTATTATTTCACTGTCATCAATATCTGCCAGACCATGATATTAAAACCTTGCATGTTTTGGGATTTCTGAATAGTTGACCATAGAGCGTTTTATAGGAGGCAACTGTATTCACAGAAGCCTGGTGAGAGGGGATGAATAGTTTATGACACCACAACCCAACCTTGCTTAGGCCATTCAAATTTAATTTGTTGGTTGTCAAATTTTTTTAAAGAAAAAATGTCAAGCCATAGGGCAAAAACAAACAGGACTAGGCATCCTAAGATAGCCCCAAAAGCTACATTTTGTACATGTATGATAGGAACAAAGAAGTTAACATACCAGGCTGGTTTTCAATTCAAACAATGGATTTTAAACTTTTGTTTTAATCAAACCAATTGATAGATGGAAAAACTATAACAAAGGAAAAACTATAACAAAGTTAGGAAGAGAAGGACTTTCTTCAAATGTTGTTGCCATAATATGACCCTTTTGGTTGATTCAGAATCTTTGAACTTTAGTTTGAAAATTAGACCAAAATGATGCAGGCAAGTCCAAGAACCAAGTGTTTAATTTGTTTTGGCCTTAGGATGAGTCTACCCACATGTGTCACACAGATCATACTGGGAGATGAATAGTTTGTGGCAGCTCATAGACAACATGGCTATGGTTTAAAACCTTTCAGACTACTACTGGGCACATTTTATTTCTTTCCACTGTGCTTCCTTGTTTTGGTAGACAAATCGGCACCAAAATGATAATGTGTGTATTTGTATGAATTGTCATCTGTAGGGTAATAAAATAAATCAAAAGACTGAACTGTCAATGGAATGTATTTGCTCAAGGAAAATGTTAAAATTGAATCCAAATAGATCTATGCAGCAATGTTCATTATTGAATGCAAAAAAAGGATAAATAAAGGAACATACATGTACTGCCTTCAGGTGTACATGTTTTTAATGTTTTAAAGTTAATTAGTTTTTATCAATACAGACCTTTGGGCAAAACCTTCTCATTGTGTTACAGTACATAAAACTTATAATGCTTAAAGATACCTTGATTTATGCTATCATATACAGCAAGGCAGGGTTGGTCATTAATGTTATTACATTGATTAAATGTGTTTATGGTACCTATAACAGTTATCCCTAGGATATATGTCCATCATTTCTTGAGTAGTAAAGTGGTAAAATGGATGGATAATTACGTAGATTGGAAAGTAAGCTTGTGATGACTTTTAGTTTACCCCATATAATATACTGTGCTTCTGCTTGGTGAAAGTATCCCATATGGTACAGTTTTGATGACAGGCATTTAATACAAGCCATTGCGATTATTAGACAATTGCCAGGCTAAACAATGACAATTGACAAAAGATAACTGATGACAGGATAAAAATTGAATAAACGGTCAGCCTTGGGAAAACTCTCTTAAGTGGGCAAGTAGTTAAGCTTCAACGTAACAAACTCAGACTGTGGGTCCCTCCTGAATGATTAAGAAGTGTGGACATGGACTCTAGATCTCAAGCCTGACAGTAATGGATGAAGAGCTACCTGGAAATGGCATTATTCCATTTGCAGAATGATTGAGCTGTTGTGAAATCTTAGCGTCATCTCGCTGTGAATCTGGAGGCTGAAGTGGGGAGAAAGGGTACCCCAGCTGTGCAGTAATAGGTCCGTGAGAGCTATCTGCCAGGATAATGCCAGGATTTATGGTGTTAGCCTGCAACTTTCTCATGGCGGAAAGGAAATTACATTTGTTCCGATTTGTTTTTTTATGAGAGGGACTGGAAAATTTGTTCGCGAAATTGAATTCAAGTGGCATGCTTCCCGGGGAAGTATTCCCCGCCGAGACGGATATGAAAGTTTGGAATGGTGATTAAGTCTGGAGACGATGGAATTAATGTGTGGAATATTGCATTCTTCATCTTAATAATGGTGTGCTTTTAGAAAAGATTGTGTTGAATGATTTTTCAAATTGGCTAGGTGACTTATGCTGTTGTTGTTCTATGTTACACTTCTTAAATCAATCTTGTGGAAAGGTCCAAAAGGAAGAAAGGCTACATCTTTTCTAAAAAGCTTTTCCAGAATTGGAGACAATGTTGTAAATGATTTGATTCATCAAATCTGCTCAATTTTTCAGAAGTCTGGCCAGGAGAAATGATGCCTACAAATTGAGTCTATTGCTTCAATGAGTTAGTGGGCCACCTGCCAGTTTTCCCATGTACTTCACTAGCTTGGTAAAAATAAGTGAGCTTTCAGATAGCGTACGGCAGGCCTTTATATCACAGTTTTGTGTAGCATCTAAACTTCCGCTTGTAACTTTTTATGTGTCTCCCTAAAGAAAGATTTAATGCGCAACACTCTGATATCTTTCATAAAACTACCTTTACATGTCACAAGATAATCCATAGCTAGTTCAGACATGCAGCTTCCGTAAAATTATTTTGTATTCTTAGGCTGCCTCTAATACCTCCAGGTTTTCTCCAGATAAATACCGGGGGAATTAGATAATTAATGTCGGCATCAGCTGTCTGACTGTGGCCATAATTCTCCTGAATATGAATTATCATTTTATCAGGGAAAATGACCGTGATGTACTGGCTCTTAGAAGCGAAGTTGTATTTCTTATCCATAATTGAAGATGTATTAATTCCAAGTGCATGCCGGTAATCCAGGCCCATCTGTTCCTAGTGTGGAGCGGCCACCCTTACACTGCTGTTCACTGCCTGGCTTACTGCCTGTCTTGTTACGGCTGATGTATTATACTTACAGCAACCTTCTCTCACTGTCATTTCCCCTGTCCAGGATAATTTCTCAGCCAGAACATTTCCTGGTGTACACACTGTACTAACTCTCTGGTCTGACATGATACGGGTTGATATGAATGTGTATCAAGCACAAGTAATTTCCTCCCCGAGACACTGGGGTAGTCCATCACTGATATTGCTCTGATTTTTCCACTAGAGGAAATAAAACAATGTCAGACACTCCACACTTGAATTGACCATTTTTCTTTATCAAGGGCCACTTTGATAGAAGTTTGTGTCTTGGATGTAATCAAGGTACATGTATTCCCCTAATGGTTTGAGATGAGCTGTGCTAGCAGAAGTGGGAGGTATTAGCTTATGTTCAGGGATGAGAAAGAACATGATATGGTGAACATAATTGCAGTACAGCGCCAGAGCTAATATTTTATGACTGCTGGAACATTTTTTTTTCGCCTGCCTCATCCAATGTAGTGTAGGTGTGTACAGTTATCGGAGAGCCATTGGTACCAACTACTGTAGTTTGCAAAATACAAAGATGGGACTTGATGTACAACTTTTCAGTCGAAGTACAGGGTTTAAAATACCCACTTTTGCACTCCAAGTCATGTTTTATGAGCAAGATTTATTGGTGATACTAGGTTGCCCGGTGTGCAAGTTTACAGTGGCCCAGCTTATGGCTTCTGAAATGCACTTAGTCTACCTCAACCAGCATGTGAGCAATACTTTACACAGTTGAGGGCAACATATTTTAATGGGCAACCTAGCTTTTGGCTGACAAAAAAACATCTGTATGTTAAGTAGAGCTCTTATGGGGGTGGGGGGCATACCGGCAAAGTTGATTGATGACCGAATTTTCATTTCCCTGCATGGAAAGAATCACAGGAAACTATAAATTCTGAAGTCAAAGAATTCTTGACACCTCCTTGCAACCTCTCCTTAGCAACTGAGTTGCTGTGGAAAAAGTCAGATGAATTACTGTAATCCTCTTATCTCAGTAGCCCTCTTGACAAAAGGAAAAATTCCATGGCTAATCACACAACAGGTGATTGGAATGGATTAAATGGGATTAAAGTGGTCTATTCCTAATTGCTGTCATGCTTCATCTGACACTGATGTGGCACTGATGCCATCGAGGATGCTATTTGTGTGTCCTCAGAGGTTATTGTCCTAGGGATGCATATAAAATACCTGCTGCGGGATATTAAACACTGAATAATAGATGGCACACAAGTAGCAGTTCTGAACAAAGTGTAAATTCCAACAGGACTTACAGTCTTCTGTAACTTACAAGTGGCTAATGTCAAGACTTAAGACGTACAAATGTATAACTGTTACATGCTATGGAAAGCAAGTGAAGAGCTTTCAAACCACGCTAGCACAAAGGCTCCTTGCATTTCACTTTAAGGATAATTTTCTGCACTGAAGAATATAACTTAACGAAGGGTAGACATCCAGGTGATGAGATACACAACAAGAAAACAGTTACTCAAGCAACTGGATAGATTTTGAAAAATCTACCCAGTTGACCTAAGTAAGTCTGTTTTCTGTCCCACTCTGTACTACCCTTTTGTATACATTTGTAATTATATACTAGTGTATATATGTAATTCTGATGTTCCTTGTTGTTCTAGGTGACAATCACTGGCCAGAACATCCCAGCCTTGACTGGAGGACACTCCTACTCCTGTGTGTTTGGGAACTTTGCCACGACAAGTGCCACGGTGGTGGGAACACAGCTGTTCTGTAACTCCCCACCTGCCAGCAAGATACCTGCCATCACAGGGCCACGAGGTAGGACGAAGATTCTTTCCAAACAAAGATTTCCCCTTTCAGAGGGTCTGCATGGCAGGCATGGGGAGATCCTAGAAATGCTTAATGTTGATTTTAGGAGGGCTGACAATGCCTAAAAGAAAATTAATTGTGTAAGGCTTTTGGAACAACTTTATTGGAATGTTCATGGAGTATGCATGATGTTCTACCTTCACCTTGAATTTTAGGGGTTTCTCTTTTTAGCGAACGCCCACGAAAGCCCACCAATTGTCGCACGAATCTTAAAATTTTTGGTGTGGTCATGTCCAGAGTGTGCTCGCGGGTGTCCATGCCAAGTTTGAAGCGAATCCATCGAGCCGAACTTAAATAAATCGAAATTTACTGGGTTTTTTCTCTTCTTGGCGAACGCCCACTTTACTTCCGGGTTCGCTGCGAACGCCCACTACTCTTGGCAAAATTTCGGCCCTCGCGCAACGCCGGCAAAATCCACCACCACAAATATGTTCCTGTATGCCTCCCCCTGCATTTCTGACAAGTTTCCGTGCTTTACGAGCTTTTAAAGTACCCATTTTTTGACAAAATATGCGCTGCGACGAGCTCGCCGCCTCCGCGTATACGTTCCACCTGGTCACGTGACTTGCGGGCGGGGACTGTTCGCTAATTTCATGATCAGCGGGAGGGAGGAAGGGTTGCAGAAAAACGCAATCTACCGCACAAAAAGGGCAGAATGTCGTCTTTGTAACATCAAACATAAATGATTTCCTTTCCTGCATAATTTTCACCACGGTTATTATTATAAATAAGCTGCGATATCACAGACATAGTGTTGCACAATTGATACACTTCTCAAACCAGGGATTTCATACAACTGTATCAGGTTACCTGCAGCACGCACCTTCCAGTCGCCGGCGGTGTCTACTTCGTGACTAGGTGAATGCATGTATTGGAATCAGTAAGTACATAAAACAATCTAATGAGAAATATATGAAAACACAGTATAGAAGGATATGATTTGAGTAGTAACCAGATCTACTGGAAGTGTGGAGTTTTATGACATCAGCTGTGGCATGATGTTAAAATGCTTCAGAAATAGCTTTGGTGTTTTGTTCAAGTTATTCCAATTCCCCTGTACATGAATGAGAATTGCCATTGATTATGTTTGAAGAACGAAAATTTCTTTTCCTTCCCCCATCAACTTTATGTCCTAAAGTGGCGAAGTGATATCAATTTTGCACACAGTATTTTCTCTCCATCTTTATTAATGTATACAATGTACTAGTATATGGATTAACATATGGCGATTGCCATGCATTTGACATTGATTCACGGAGCAAGAATTCTCATGTATACCTCCTGTTACTTACATTTGAATCTTTTCTTTTCATATTGTACTCATACAAAACATTGCTGTGTACTAGGAGAATGTATGTTTTGTACAAGACTATTCTTTGTTTCTATTGCCTAGGTCACATTTGAAACGGCGCCCGTTCGGCATGTCCTCGGCGTAGACGCCGGCCGGCGTCATGACGCCGAGCGTGCGCCGTACTGTCAGGGTCACAATTAAATGTTCCTTTACGGCTCCCTGTCGGGGCCTGCTTGTGCTCCGGCCGGCGGCTCTCATTAATATTCATAAACTTTTGCCGCCAGTTTCTGTCAGGGACCCGTCCAGTGCCCGGTCAGTCGCCCGTCTTGACCCGTGCGGCGTGTGGTACTACCGTTAACTTCAAGTAAAGAGTACACGTCAAGTAAAGAGTAGACTGAAGTTGGCGATGCAGCGTTCAGTGCAACCTGCAAACAACTTACAAGCCCGTCTGAGATTGAAATTGGTGACAACCTATACGTATAGGTCTTCTGGCATTGGTAGCTGAAGAAGAGAGGCAGGCAGAACTGGTGCGTCGCAAAAGTAACCGAGGGTCTACTTTCGAAAGTACTTCAACAGTGACGCAGGAAGTACTTCAGCAGTGACGCAGGAAGTGTGCCGTGGCAGCTTGCTATTGAGCAATAAAACCACTGAATATCGTTACTTCTGTTGAAATTTGGACTGAAAATAAATGCCAATAACTTCTGATTCCATTTTATTACGAAGGCATATGATGTAACAAGAGATAATGTCAGACACATTCTATTCCTGTTATGATCTGTTTTATGAAGTTGGCAAGAGAGCCGTGCCGGCTGTTTTCCCTTGCCCTTCGACATTCTGACACACAAATACAAGTTGTAACACACACAAGTACACGATGTAACACACACGTGGTGAACTGTGCGACGTAGTCTGAGGCAGGAGTTTATATATGCTCCCTATAACCCCCTTTTCCTGACCATCTGATGCACTGATCAGCACATGTGACGTCATAATCTTAGGCAGGTGCCTGTTCGGCCGCCCGACGGGTCCCGGGCAGTGAGGTTACGGCGTCGCTTCGGCGTATTTCGCCGAACGGGGCCCGAAGTGTTTTTAACTCTGAGTTAAAATCGATTCGGCGACCGCGCGGGGCCAAAAATAGGCCGGCAGCCGTCGGGAAGCCCGCCGGTCTCCGTCCAGGTCCCGTTCGGTAGTGCCAAAAAACACGCCGAACACGCGCCGAGCGGGCCCCTTTCTTGAATTGTGACCTAGGCATATGGTATGCTACCTAGCTCGCTGTCACTTGCTGTAACTGTTTATGGGAAGAAATATCCTGTCGCTAGTCTAATGCGAGTGACATGTGCAAACATATCTTGATCCAGACAAAACTCTAACGGCAGGAGGACCTTGCACAGACGTCATCGTTAGTTCGTTTAGTCATTTTTTCAACAGACGTCGGCGAAACGACGTTCACTCCCGCGAAGTTGGCTACTCAGTCGTGACGTAAATAGCAGAGAGCGGGTTTTATACGTCGTTGGTTAGAGACGCACTTGCTTGGGATTACTAGCATCTGTCGGTTCCAGCATGGAGTATAACTCCATGGTTCTAGCAGTGGCAACGCTGGCAACAATTAGTATGTTGTAAAATTGTTCTGCTGAACTATAGACACGCAACGTTATGCAAAAAAAATTCTTACATAATATGACGCACACACATGTATACCAGAGGGTATATATATATATATATGGAATATATAAATAATTATGCAACAAGCGGTTACATTGTTGTCCACACCGCCGGCGACTGGAAGGTGCGTGCTGCAGGTAACCTGATACAGTTGTATGAAATCCCTGGTTTGAGAAGTGTATCAATTGTGCAACACTATGTCTGTGATATCGCAGCTTATTTATAATAATAACCGTGGTGAAAATTATGCAGGAAAGGAAATCATTTATGTTTGATGTTACAAAGACGACATTCTGCCCTTTTTGTGCGGTAGATTGCGTTTTTCTGCAACCCTTCCTCCCTCCCGCTGATCATGAAATTAGCGAACAGTCCCCGCCCGCAAGTCACGTGACCAGGTGGAACGTATACGCGGAGGCGGCGAGCTCGTCGCAGCGCATATTTTGTCAAAAAATGGGTACTTTAAAAGCTCGTAAAGCACGGGAACTTGTCAGAAATGCAGGGGGAGGCATATAGGAACATATTTGTGGTGGTGGATTTTGCCGGCGTTGCGCGAGGGCCGAAATTTTGCCAAGAGTAGTGGGCGTTCGCAGCGAACCCGGAAGTAAAGTGGGCGTTCGCCAAGAAGAGAAAAAAAACAGTAAATTTCGATTTATTTAAGTTCGGCTCGATGGATTCGCTTCAAACTTGGCATGGACACCCGCGAGCACACTCTGGACATGACCACACCAAAAATTTTAAGATTCGTGCGACAATTGGTGGGCTTTCGTGGGCGTTCGCTAAAAAGAGAATGCGGAATTTTAGGAAGTGCAGTCAAGAAGATTTTTTTTGGTCTCCTTTCCCTTCTATTTCATTTCCCCATCAGCTAGTGTGTCGAACCTCCTGAATAGTTGATGTGGAGTACATGTAGTAGCCCTGTTGACATAAATGTGTTGGCTTAACTCTGATAAGAATTTGATACTGTTCTGAAACATAAAATGAGTTGAGACTTGTTCAATGAAACACACATTTGAGTCGTACATGCCTAACTCCTGTCTAGTGAATTGATGGAAGATGTTTACTGTGTTGAAGATTGATGGGAGTTATATTGGCTATATCATGATAATAGATGGGGAGGCATTTCAAACTTAGCTTATGTCGTGACATGACATCAATATGAATTATGACAAGGAGGGAGAGATAACCTTTCTATGACATTTCCATGCAGTGCTGTACATGTGTGTGTCAACATGTGTCCACTGATCCTGTGGCATTTTCATGCTCGAAAGGGAAGCTAGACTTTTTCATAACACCGTTTTACAGCCCATGCCAGCAGCAGCATCCTGTCGTGCAAATTACGAGCAGTCTTTTCACGACATTGTCACGCAGTACATGTAAAGGCCAACATAAAGCCAGCAGCTCAGTTTTTCATTGCATCATTCAGAAAAAAGGGTGAATACTGAATTTGAACTTTCTTCTAACACCGCCCAAATCCCATGTCTATTAAATTTATTTCTTTATTCTTTGATTTTGTATTCTTTGGCCCAAGTCCTCCTTTTTTTGTTTTACCCCCTTCTCAAACTACTCAACTTTGTTGTTGGACAGCATTTTTATTATACATCAATATGAAGCCAGTTGTTCCCTGGTATTGTCCCATCTATGTGCTGGAACTACCCTACATGTACCAAGATAACGCCAGTCATTTCCAATGCCCGTTCAATTTCACAGTCACTGCGTACGACTCTGAGAAATGGCTGCTTACCAAAAGCATAGATCTCTGGGGGGGAACCTTGAAAAGAAACCATAAGTTACCTCAGAAAACGATGACCAGTGTATCAGCTATAGATCTCTGTGACCAGTGTACAAAACAGGTCATAGATCATGGCATTATCATGTCCCTGGCTTTGGCACTTCTCGGCTGACACATGTCCCCAAGGACGATACTAGTACTATGTCACTGTGACTGTGAGAAACTCGTGTATGTCTGTCACAATGTTCTAGCCAGCCTGAAATTTTTTTCTGTCATCTGAATTTTTTTACCTAACATCAGATCTAGTGCCAAAGGCATGGGGGTGACAATCCTTGGGGTTTGTGGGAGGGGGGAATTGCATGCTTTCAATGGGAAAATTTTGAGATCTTGACCCTCTGAAATGCTATAGCCTGCATTTTGAGGGGCAACTTTTGCTGGTAGAATAAGCTTAGTTTAATGCCAATTTTGTCTGTCAAAGATGGTGGATTGGGCATTGTCCATCATGAGCAAAATAACCTGAAATAACAGAAAGACAGATGAATCTACCAGACCAGTAGCCTGTCACCTACATGTATGCTGTATTACAGAACACACTGCAATTTGCTGAAGACAGTTTTGTATAGATTTTCCACTGTCATTTCCATGTAAATTGTTTATAAGCAGAACTGAAGGTGTGGCTGGGAAACCTGTAAGGGAAGACGAATGGTTGGCCCGGTAACCTCTCCCCCTACCTTAGAGCCAAATTTCCCCCTTGACTGACAGCTTGGATCCAGTATTGACAACTGAGTGACTGATATCGGCAGGAAGAGCTTAGTCAGGGTCCCACTTAACAACATGTATGGCCCAACCTCTGTTTGAGCTGTAGAGGATGAGTACTACACTTTGGTTTGCCCTCATGTGGCTGGAAGTGTTATATCCGAGAAGTAGCAGGATATCCAGTGACAGACCATTATTTGTCTGTTGGGGGGGGGGGTATATGCAATGACAAAAGATATCACCAATACTGTTGTATCTGATGAAGAAGCTCCTCGCAAGCAAAATTTGCTTGTCTTGAACCTTGCTTGTATAATTCTTTTATCATATTTTATTTTTCCTGCTATTGTCTTGATATAACCATATTACAAATCATATATACAAGAATCTTTGTTTTATCATAGTTCTACCCAAAACTCACAAACTTAACGTTAAGTTTCAATGACATTTCACAGTGAAGGCCATATTAAATGGAAATTCCATTGATTTCTTTCTTTACTTTAAATTCTTGATTAAATATTGCTGTATACGTCTAACATATATAATAAATTTCCAATCTCGAGAGACATGGGTACCTCGGTCCTCAACCATCATTCCTGTTGATTGTAAATTTTCGGCTTGACTGACGAAACATCCAGGAATATTGAACTGCAAATGGGAGACACGGTGTTGAATATGTATGGTGAAAAGTTAGGGAATATGCAATTGATCAACCTTTTATAAAGCAAAGCACATAATGGATGAGTTTGCCTTCATACATCTTGGCTTTTTTCTTGCAATATTGGAATAAAATTGATGCTATCTGTCACTCTATAGAGTATCCTAAGGGCACACAGTCACCAAGCACTGTTCTTTACCGAAGAAAATGAATTTCGGTTCCTCCACTGATTGACTGTAATTGATTTTTGTGACCTTCGTTTTTAGCACTTTACCTTTTGGAGAGTGGAGGACAACTTGTCACGGTGTCAAACGGCAGCTCGGGAAGAAATTAATCAGGCTCCTTGATTGCCGTCGCTGTTCCCGTTATTGATTTTGAGGGTCATGCAAATTTTATCTGCAAATTGCAGAAGAAATTCTTAACACCCTAAACTTCCTTGGAGGATTGTGCGCCCGCTGAGTTGTTCCCATAGTTCATACTTAACCTAAGCTGGCTTAGCCTGGAAGTTCTACTAAGATGGTAAATGGCATTGGCATAAGAAGAAATAAACATCAGTTCAGAAGAATTTGACTTGCTGGAATTTTTTACTGAATCTCCTTATCTTATTCAGCAATCTGGCCCAAGTGCTGTAGACACGGGACTTTTCCACACATGATTTTTCTGCATGACTGTGTGACGTCAGCAATTGCCTTTTTTTCTGCAGTGCATGGAAATTTTAATATTAGCTACAAGTACTAGAAACTTTTCAAATATGTTGCTTTTTTGAAAATATGTCTGTAACATTAGGAAATACAATGAAAATATATCTTTCCTCTTGTATTCCAGACAACTTGGTGTCGGACCTCTTTCTGCTGGCAAGTGAGACTAACCAGAAGTTCGTCAAGACCAACTTCACCTTCTATGAATGCAACGTACACGCATCGTAAGTGGTATCATTTTATGATGTATGATTCCAAAATCTCCAAGCAGATGTTTTGGTGGGGAGGGCATTGTCCTGTAGCCAGGCAGTTACCATGTTGGGCTGGCTTAAAAAAAGATTCCAGTGCAAAAAAGAAAGCCTGTAAGCCTAAACCTCTACTTGGAGAAGATGATTACACTCCATTTTGGGAATATTGTCACATGCAGAATCCCTTTAAGTGCCCACATCAGAGCCTTGAGGGAAAATTGCACTTGATACCAGGAGTAGGAGCAAATCCCAGGATATGGTTCCGACAACAGAAAATTGGTAGTTTTGGAGGAAGGTGCATTTATTGTCTTTCCCGGGCTTAAAATTAGTCATTATTACCACACTGGGATGTTTGTAAATCAGCACACCATGTGGTTTTGGACCATTATTGTCTTACCAGATCCAAACATCAAGCGTAGGGACTTATGGTAAAGCAATTTTCCATGGGACAAGTTCCTGCCATCCTCTGTGATAGCAGGCCCATGTACAAGTGTGTGCAGACAACTGTGTAAAATAGCTACCCTGAACAGGTGGTTGTGAATACAACATGTACATCTGGGACTGCTGTATATGATTCACCAACTGCTACAGACATCTGCTGCAGATTGTTTGTTACACCTCACAGAGCACTTAATGAAATGAAAATCAGCTGTGTCAAGATGTCCTGCAGCATTTTATGTTTTACATGCTACATTGGCTTTTGTGACACCGCAAACAGAAGTAAACAGCGTGCTCCAATTATGGCCACATGCGCACAAGGGGTGTCCTGTCGTTGCACTTTTTAATGGACCAAGATTTGCAAGAACATGAGCATGAGGGGTCCTGTTCCAACTGAAATATCATTTGCTCAATCGACGATCTACAACTTTGGAAATATTTCTCACGATAAATGGCTCAGTTCCGTGGTATCATTTAAAGAGATTTATTATCAACAGATCCGAATGAAACAGATGTCTCGACATTGATTCCTTGAGAGTTTTGCGGCTGTAATTTGAGCCGGAGAGGAAAAGAAAAGGAAGCTGCTTCACCGGTGCGTGCCGCGTGAAATATGACAATCCCAGCGAACATGCCCAAATGCCGTCACTGTGGTGTAGGGAAGTAATGTAGCAATTTCTGGTCCTTGGAAAATGTCAGGCTGCCTATCAGTGCGTGCAGTGGCATGGCCGTTCCTAATGGCCGTTTTGTGGAAACTTTGCAGTAACGGTACAGTAACATTGCATCAGTGGTAGCCTCAGCTGACCTCTGTCATTTCGGATGGATCAATGGCAGGACAAAGGAGCACTGACTCATGCCAACATTTTGCTGAAGGGCACCTTTAGATAAGGCTTCATGGTGATGTCAGTGCCACGAGGAAAGAGGAAGATATTGTACGAAAAATCCTTCAAATTCCTGCGGCATGCATGAAGGGAAGAGGCCTCTTGTGCAACAGTTAGAAGCATGAAGGAGATTTTAAAATGTCGTCTGTGACTGCTTTCCTTCACACATGTACATATCTGTACATGTACATGTGTGGGCAAAGTATCAAGCTGGATCCTTTGAAAGATTGTTTAAGTTTCTGTAAAGAGAGAAAAATACCACAATGGCTAAAGAAGCTTTTTGTTCTTGTGCTACAGTAACTTATATTCAATTATGTTTAGTCAATTTCTGTGTATCATGGAATTGCATTCTGATGTAACAGGTTCGTCCAGTTAGATAAAGTTAATTATATTCATACAAACTGCATGGATCTCAGCCTTTCCATGTTTAAATTTCACACAGTTTGGATTTGAATTAAAGCTTAATCTCCTGAGTCTATTGTTACAGTAGCAATTCAGTTGCCACAGCTGGAATGACCCACCTGCAATTTTGCAACAGGTTTCAGAAGAAACATTTTCCTATATCATGTTCAAAAAGGGGATAGCCTGCTCCTCTTGCTGTGATTGTGTCAATACTTTACATGCATTGAAGAAGGAAATGTGATAAAGTCTAACGCATTGTGATGTCGCTAAGAATTAGATGCTGTTGATGATACTCTGCACACGTTTGTTACAGCTGTTACAGTTGCACGTCCAGCAGCTTCAACTGTGATTGGTGTATCTATGACAACGTGTGCACGCACCGCAGAACGGACGTCTGCAGATATGTCAGCAACTCCGAACTGGTCTTGGGCAATGACGTAAGTGTCAGATTTCATGATTGGACCATGTCACATTGTAATCTCTAACTGGGGTATGGTTTTATCCTAGTGTAGAACCATCAGTATATGACAAATGGCCCAAAATCTTGTGGCTTTCTGAATACAGTACAAGCAGGGCATACACTCAAGGTGTCAGAGTAACTTATGAAGCGTGCATGGGTGACATCAGATATGCAGATGTGAGTGTGTCTGGTGTTGTATGTGGTGCGTGGCAAATAGGGTTTGGTAGAAAGAGGAGATGTGTTTGGTTGATATGAAGGGTGTTTGCCGACACCCCGTGCGGTGGCAGTATGTCATCGTGATTGTCGGCGACATGAAGTATTCGGCAATCAAGCTGGGCGCAATATGGAAACAACATCCCGCCCCTGTCTGTGTGTGTTCTCTCGGGGAAATACTGATGGGAATTGTGTGTTGATTGTGTATGGATATGAAATGCCATAAATTTGTCAAATGCGTGAGTATGTTGTTTGGGAAGCAAAATAGAGATTAAAAGTATACAATGCTTGCTGCAAGAGCCCCCCTCCAGGTGAGATGTTAGCGTAACAATTCATTTGAAAAGTGTATCATGTTGGTGGATGTAAGAAAGAAAATCTGAGCTATTCTGCTGCATTGTGTTGTCATACTTTCTGCCTAACAATTATGTGCCAGCCTTACCATGAAATTGAACTTGATTAAGCTCCATGGCTTCCTAATACCAAAAGTGACGCCGGTATTCATCTTGACTCCATGAAGAATTTCAAGTGCTTTTCTGGCAATTACAGTTGAGATTGCAAAAGGTTACTTTGGACCACTTACTGCTCGAGATTACTTCCTCAGTCCCGGCCTGTCAACATCAATTGGCGGAGTTACAAATAACGAGAAAGCCTTCATGTGAGAAGGAAAGCAAACTCATATGAGAAATGATAAAGGATATATCTTATCACCCTTGTTCAATACGTTCAGAAATTATTAATCTCTTACGAAGGACATTTTGTTTCGAGCCAGATGGTGTCATTTCATAGAAAGTGATTGTACAAGAAATTATTGAAGAGCTGTTATTGATCATATGAGCTCCAGTAAAATTGCAGCATGTTGTTACATACAGGATGAGGTAGCCTGGAGGGATTGGTAATACCCAGCAGTATGGTAGGTGATAATAACTGCCTCCAGGAGGATCTTGAGACTCTATTACACTTTTACAGAGGATGAAAATGTCATTAAATTCGTCCTATATTTGTTATTTAGCCGACAAATCCTGTAACAGACTAGAAAGGCTGACGTGCTCGGGAGCAAGTACAGTATATTTCACTCCATCCCCCTCCCCATTCCAAAATGGACTATTCCATATGAACCTTTTGCAGAATGTTGCTCACAATATGATTCCTCTCCAAAAGGGAATTTTCTTACATTGACCCCGGGCAAGAATGGACTGTAGGCATATCTCCAAGGCACCATTACACCAAATTTCAGATCCATAGGGTGTAATAGCAAGGCTCAAATGCCCAAAATATACATTATTGGACAAATGGCCCCTAAAAAAAACAATAAAAAAATTATTTGAATAGATTTTTTTTCGCTGACTTCTTGGAGAAAGTGCTGATGTGCATTTTTTTACATGGGCTAAGGTTCTCTAATGCAGCAGAGGGAGTCATGCCACGGAGGGAGTTACAAATGTACACCTCTCCTACAAGCCTGCTTTTGTTGGGTCAGAAAAAGGGAAGGGGATGAAGGCAGCCTTTCAGAGAGACAATTAACATGTTCATGCAGAAGAGAGGGAAAAGGGAAGAAAAGAAACACCAAAGAAAATGATATATTTCATTCTTACCATGGTATGGAGTAAAATATAATTAAGGTTGGCGTTATGATGTTGATGATTTGATGATAGCAGTATTGCTGGAGGCACATGTGTAATGCTGTTGGTCTTAAACACAAAATCATGAGGTCCTCATTTGTGGGATTTCATTTATATTTCTTTTCTTTCTTCTATTGATTGAAAAACTTGACTCCTTTATCTGTCAGGAGTTGCAGTGAAGGTAACTTGAGTGATGACTTGTTAACAAAAGCTTTGGAAAAGCTCCTTCCTTTCGGAGGAATGGTAAATTGCCTGTATCAGCACGACAAGCAGGCATAAAATTGTATCCTGTGACTTCTTTGCCTTGGGGCTGAATGTAAAGCAACTCCTACCTTCCTCCACACACTTGTATTGTCATTCCAGGAGATCCCAAGAATCAGCTTGAGTTCCGTCTTATTTTGGAAAGACAATGTAGATTGCCATAAAGGTGGCTGTGCTGTTGGGGAGGTATTGCTGTAATGCCGGCGCACCCCGCTGCGATGTGATGATATGTGTGACACAGGGGACGTGTGCCATCCCGGCAACGACTCTGAATCTTATCTCCTTCCTGCCAGGAGTTGCATGAAGTGAGAAATTTAATGGGGGATTTTCCTGGAGGCCATTCTCACAATGATAGACGCATGCAAGTAAGATGAAAATGTTATCATAATTATCAGACAAGCTGCTTTCCCACGAACCTAGAGAAAAAAGAAGGGTGATTTAGCTTGCATGTCTAACATTGTATATTCAGGTTTGGATAGAAGGTTATGGAATGCCAGAGAGCCCTCCCTCTAATGGCAATATTCCCAACTGCTGTAAGATGTAATGATGATACTTTAAAGTCAGGGATTATTTTTATGTGTAAAATGACATGAAGAGGAATACATGTATCAAAGGGTAGAACCAAGGTCACTTATTGTTTAGTAATGCCAATGAAGGTTAGACCTCCAGGTAATGAAAAGCTATCCAGTTGCTTGGGTATTTTTTTCGTTGTATATTGTTTAGGAACCTTAAAGAAGTGAAAAATAAGGATGAGGACTTCTAGATGTGTAGGACTAGGACTTCTATGTGTAGTTGTATGTCCAGTACCAGCAAGGCCATATTGATGATGATGATGGGGGAGGGGGGCGTTTTCCTTGGTGCTGAAAGGCTTTCCAAGTGAGATATCCCATAATGACTTCCTAAGATACTTTAAATACAATATGAATTGTAAACCGTGTTTGATATTCTCTCTTCTCCCTCTTTACCTTTAGGATTATAGAGTCATGATCAGGACACTTTTTTCAGTACCAGACTTTTTTAGAATTCACAGAAAATTCACAACCTTGAAATGTCATTTTAGATGCCTTGTGTCCAACTCCAAAGTCATTCTTGTACACCAGGTAATCAGTATTCTAACCACAGTTTGGTAGGTAGGTAGTTCCCAGCAGATTTGTTCTTCAACTTCTCATCATTAGGGGTAGACATCAGATGAGAATAGATTTTCGGATCATCAGCTGACATTGTGCAGACTCATTCTCGGTCCATCAGATCAGGCAAATGATAGAAAACTATTTGACCCTATGGCCACCATTGAAACAAAACAAAAAAGTGTTGCTTTGTTTTCTTCCATACTTGCAGTGTTAGAGATGTAGGAGCAAATGAGCAACCAATTGCAAAGGGTAGCGGTATTTCACATATTGGGATTTTGATCCTATGTGAACATATTCATGAGCTCGTTCTCCCTAACGAGACAGTTAATGAGCCAAGGAAGGAGTTCGAGCAGTGAGGCAAATGGGTACATTTTTAACCACATGGTGACGTGTTCGGCAATACATTCAGTGACCTGCAGGAAACAGGCTCATTTGGTAAACATGAGGGGCTGTAGAAATGTGTGCGTGTCGGACCCGCGAACCTACACATCCCCACAAATAAAATAAGCCTCATTAATCAGAGGCTCCAAATTTGGCTGCTCTTTCAGTCGGAACATCCATGTGAGGGTGCAAGGTTAAGTTGCTAGGATTTCTGCCTAATGTGAAATGTTTCAGTCTAGACGTTGTGCATTGGAGTTCAAATGTTCCACAAGAAAATTGGTTATTCTTATTCTTAGTGCATATCACAATGCTTGTGTAGCCGAAAATCCGTAGAATTAATGTACCTAAAGACAGAGGTGAAATTTCATATCACGGATTTAGTTCTAAAGTTGGTGCCTGCATTTCCATAATATCAATAAACAGCACAAATCAATTTGTGTTGACTTCTTGATATTCTATCCCCGTTTGAATGATTTGAACTTTTTTGTTGGTGCACCAATTTTGGGAGAGCGCCATAAGCTGACATTTAAGAAAATATGGCGTCTGGTTTTTCATTAAAGGGTAAATGTCATTCACAGATACAAGTACATTCAATCCCCATTTTACATTTAACATTCTTTTGTCCATGGAAAGAGTGCTATTGATGAAGTTGTCCCGGTAATGTTTTCTCTGAGGACAGTATGGTTACTCAAACACAGAACTTGAGGAATGGTGTTTCCAGCATCTGTGGATAAGGTATAGCCATTTTGTCAAGCCTTAATCCAGATGAATATCACAGCTTGAAATACCACCTGCATATATGCAGGCTAGTGCAGGTAAAATTGGAGCTGTGCAGGTATTTCTGATGCCTACCTGCACCTAACCTGCACCGGTCCATGTACAGGGTATATGCAGGTTAGTGCAGGTAAAATTGGAGCTGTGCAGGTATTTCTGATGCCTACCTGCACCAGTGTTTAGTATGATCCATACTCTTATTCTGGAATTCTGAGTGGTGCAGGTAAAAGTTGTATGGTGTAGGTAATTTTTTTCAATGTAGCTTGCACCAGTGTAGGTGTGCAGAAAAAAAAGTAGTTCGAGCCTAGAATGTGATACCTAACCCCTGTGGCACCAAGCCCTTTGGCACATGAGGAGATTCACTACAAAACTGCTGACTAAGGCAGAGGTGGGCCCAGATTGTAGATGGATTGTTTTTCTTTTTCTTTTATTGCGGTCCTGTGGGAACCTCAACTTTACGGCAGCCAATCTGGCAATATAGCTGCATAGGGGTGGCACAAATGAAATTAAAGCGAGTCACAATTAGAAGTCACACACATCCTGAGGCATCTGCTGTAAATCAGAACCCTCCAGAGGAAGCAGCAAGTGGCAAACACCGCACA